GGGGTGGTGATAGGATTCACCAGAGACAGAGTGAGGAGCAGGACAGGCAGATTGAGAAGTACATTGCTGAGGGGAGCAGTTGGCAGGTCAGGAGAGGTCTGCTGTGCCATCTGGATCATCTCTGGGGCAGAGGTAGAACTCATGCTGAAGTGGCTTTAGCTTCTTAGTGTTGTGCTTTAACCCGCTGCGCCACCAGGGAGGGCCCAAGACATGTTGTCTTAAACAGGTGCACTTCACAGAAATTTGTTAATACAGCAGTAGAAAACTAAGCCACCATTCAGGGTCAGAGTAAGTGCTTTGGGATTAATGTCTCTTCCATGTTCTGGATCCTGAATGTGGCCATAGTTTTCAGTACAGGAAGGAGCCATGGCAGAGATGATTTGTAGAATAAACATCACAAGGGCCAGGCAGAAAGGCACCAGGACCTCCTTCCTTTTCTTAGGGAAAGAAAATACTGGGAAGGGGGTGTCACCTCCATCACTCCCCCAGCCCCCTATGGCCTGACATCAACTGCCAAGCAGTGCCCATGCTCTAGAGGCTGAGTCCCGCCCAGTTGTGACTGGCACTCTGCCTGGGGATGTCATTAGTGCTTATCTGGGCCTCCAGCCAAAGCCAGTGGGCCAGTCATGTCCAGTCATTCCAGGACAATTTTGGGTCCATTTCCTATGTAATTACAGGGTGAGTGGAGGGTAGATGGTGTCATTACAGTGTGAATTTGCCTGAAGAATGGCCTCTATAGCTCCAGGACTCATGCTGAGTTTGGCACTAGGGACACATCTCTTCCTTCTGAGCGAGTTCCCTTGTGAGTATCTGAGGGTGGAAGTGTCATTTCTTCCTGAAGCCCGTTCATTTAATCTTTGGACTTTGGATTTTATATTCATAGTAGTTTGCCACTTCTTGAATTGGTTCCCAGTGGTTAAAGTATGAGTAAATGGGATGGGAGGAGTAGCTAGCTCATGCATCTGACTTTGAGGCTTACTGGACCTATACGCTGGCAGGCGTACATCCCTTGGGTACCCCCTCTGCTATGGGATACAGGAAACCCCTATGAAAGTATTTCCCCCCCAGCTTTATTGAGATAAAATTGACATAGAATGTCAAGGGTGTGATTTGATAAACATAAATTGCGAAATGGTACTAGAGGAAGGTCAAATAGTGTTTTGCTGCTGAGAACATTAAAGACTTTCAGTGAGAGTTTCAAGTATTGGTGTGATAGAGGGATCAGATTAAGGATTTTAAAATATATTATTAAAGTAAGATACAAAAATGTGTAAGTGGTTGAGGAAAATGAAACTCTAAAGGCCCAAGGGAGTCTGAGAGAAGCAGGGGTGTCTTCTCACTTACTTGTGTCTTTTTCAATTTCTTTCATCAATATCTTAGAGTTTATAGTTCTTAAATATTTCATCTCTTCGGTTAAATTTACTACTAGGCATTTTATTATTTTAAAAGATTTATTTATATCTGTAAGAACTGGAGGGTAGGCTAGAGGTATGGTGAGTGAGAGACAGAGTGAGGGCATAACAGGTGGATTGACTGAAATACACTGCTAAAGGAGCAGCGAGCAGGACAGGAGGACTCTTCGGCGCCATGTGGGTCAGCTCATGTGCATGTGCAGTGGCTGGTGATAGCTTGATAGTGCTGAGTCTTTAATCCCTGTGCCATCAGGGAGGGCCCCTATTCCTAGGTATTTTATTTTTTGATGCAACTATAAAATGGGATAAATTTAAAAAAAAATAATATAATTTTATTTCACATCATTTTGTGTATTTTTCCATCTCATTTGTAATCCCCGTGGTCTTCCCATCACCAAATCACCCTGTGTGTGCCATCACCACAGTCCAGTGCACTTCCCTCTCCCCACTGTTTTTGAGCCCATAAAATGGGATAATTTTTAGTTTCTCTGAGACCACTTTGTTAATGTATAGAAACAACAAATTTTTGTGTAAAACTTATGTCCTGCATCATTATCATCCTTTGTTCATTGTAACCATTTTTTTTTTTTGGTGGCATCTTTAGGTTTTTATGTAGATCATCTGCAAAAGACAGCTTCATTTCTTCCTTTCTGATTTGAGCTCCTTTTACTCTTTAGCCTGCTTATTTTTTCTAGCTAGAACTTCTAGTACAATGTTGAATAAAAGTGGCAATTTTTCATTCCACCTGTATGCAATTCTTTTTCCACCCCTTCTCCATCAGACTATATGGCTTTACATTTGAAGTGCTGCTTACAGGCAGCAATTTCCAGCAACCACTGTGTAAGTTCTATGAAGTAATCAGGAGAGGTATTAACAGTAAGGAAACCAAAAGTATGAACTATCTTAAGGGTATAGGAAACCCAAATAGTGGTATGATCAGAATACAGCAAAGGTGGAGGTGTGACACTTGAGCGAGGTTTTGCTTCCATTACTTTTTAAATATTTTCAAAATCTTGTTTGGATGCTGGAAGCCCAAAGCTGAAGTGGTGGTAAATAATATTGGAGCAAGTTCCCAATTCTGTGTTTATCTGGCAATCACTTTTGGTTTCTTTTGCCAAGAAATTGGTTAATGCTGCCATCTAGTGTTGAAAAATAGGATTGCCTCCAAAGAGAAATGGTGAAGTAAAGATTTTTGATTTAAGCCCTGAAAACAGGCCTAAATCATAAACATTTCATAATTTTTTGTAAAACTTCTTTTTCTCCACTTCTAACTCCTTCACTTTCTACTTATTCCTCTAACAAGTATAGCCATAATTTTTTTTTTTTTGGCAAAGATCTGAACTTTGTTGCTTCTAAGCAAGCAGTAATAGTACCAAGTATTGAATGGTGTAGAGATGCAAACCATTGCTTCCCTGTATTAAGTATAGTAATTGAATTTATTAAATTGAATTTATTTAGGGCAATTGTGAAAATATTTTCCTGTGGATCACAAAAACCAAATGTTATTCTGCTTTTCTAACATGCCCCCTAGGTTCCTTCTCATTTTCTGGAACAGTCATTGTACCAGGTGTTCCTACATAATTTCTTATTTCTGCTGTATATCTATTTTGGTAGGAAAATGGTATAAAAGGTCTATTGTTAACTTCCTCTGAATAGGATATTTCATTCTTTTATTTGAGATGAAAGTATTGTATATAGTTGAGTTCTATTTAGTATGAAAGAGGGTCCTCCAGAAGTCGCAGTAAAAGACTCTAGGGTTGCTAATTCTGCTGGAGAAGTTTCCTTTGCATCTACCACACTGCAGAAATAATATGGTAGTTTCCCTTTGCTGATGGTCTGAGCAAAACTGAAGAACACTTAACTAATCAAGTAATCCAAAGCTGGTGTTCTGTGTTGGTATCTTCTCTCCTTATATTAAGGTAACTAACATATACATTCAGGGAGATTTTAGTTATATCACACAGAAAACCAATAAGGAGTAAATGCCATCGTTTCTTAACCTGGCTGGCATGAGCAGCTTGAAGCGTCACAGTTCATTCTGAAGTTGCAAACAGAGGTGAAGGTTAATGTTACAGCTATGAATATAGGATGATACTTTTTCAGTGTTTTGAAAAGCAAGAGAAAGCTCATCTTGAGACTTGCCAGGCTACTCGAACACTAGTTTTTATTTTAACTGAGAGCGATTGGTTTTGTAGTCAGGTTGACTGCTGTTTGTATAAGCAAGATTTCATCAATAGCCTTATGAAGCTCATCCTCGAATAGAGGATGGCAGCAATTCTGCCACAGAATGAGTCACTTAGCCAAGTGACTCTAGAGGTTACAAACTATTTTCATTAGAATTAGAATTGAGGATTTTGTTTGGAAGGCAAAAGTCCCATTTTACTCATTTGAGTCAAACTATTAAAATATAACAAGACCTGGGTTTTCCCATGTTCTTAGGTGCTCAGTAAACAGTGCAATTTATCCAAGAGGGACAAGCTCAAAAGCCCATGGCATGTGTTACTTCAGACCCTGGCAGAGTATTTCAGTCAAAATTATAATGCTGAAGGCAGACCTGAATCGTGTGGTCACAAATCACCTTACTCTTCTATGAAGGATCCAATCCCTGGATGACATTCTCCCGATGGAACTCTTGCATCTGTCTCTCCTCTTACTCCCTTCAGAAAAACTTTACAGGTTTGCTTTCTCATTTTTTTAAATGTGTGAACCACTTCAAAAGCTTTTTCAGCACTCTTGTGGCTTTAAACAATCTCGAGCATTGTAAAGTTCTTATTCATTTAAAATTTCTTATTCAACTAGATGCAACCATGATTTTCGATTGCCAAAATAGGTAAGTAAAGCAAGATCCTTTGTAGTTTTCTTTCCTTTACTATTCCTTTTTACCTCAGAACCCTAATGAACCTTTGAGTAATCCCTGACATGAGAACAGCAGAATAAAAGTTGTTATACAGCTTACATTAACCCCTGCATTTTCACTAGCTCATTTTTGCAAGTTTGTTGTGGAATACAAATTGCAACTTCTGAGAACTGTGAATTATTTTTAATACTTTTGACATTATTTGAGAATCAAGTTTTAGTGGTTTTATTATTGTATTCTACAGTCTTTGAACATTTGACTATACTGTCCACCAGAGGACTCTGAGAGCTTAAACTAACTGCTTAAGAGAAGAAATTAATATCCAAGGGACTATAAAATGTCAAATGATTGACTAATATGTTCTGAGAGGAAAACTGATAATTAACTTCAGGATCTTCATTTCATCCTTAGGAATATCCCCACTGGGTTTATAGTATGAATTTCTTTAGACTTACTGCATTAATAAACTTGTTCCTCATGAAAAACTGCTCTGGCATGCCACAGATGAAGCAACTGAGGCATGAACTAGGGCCCAGGTCATCTGCACTCAGCTTAGTGCTCCTCACTATAGCAGGCTGTCTGCTATAAATGAATGAGATTCTTGCTTAGAAATTTTAAATCTGCATTTCAAGGCAGCATGAATTAAATGCTTTCTTGACTGCTTCTGAAAAACAATGGATTGCCCCTTTGAAAGTAAAAAAAAAAAAACAAAAAACCACTAGAACACAGTCTTAAAAACCAAGCCATTTAATTGTGTCTTTGAAGGTAAACAACAAAGGGAGGTGGAACCCACGTCCTGAGAATGCCCAGAATTATGGGTTCCCAAAGTCCCAGGGAGTGGTGTTGTCAACAGAGTTCAGGAGAGTTAGAACTCATGCACTCCACTGAACCTTACAAACTGCCAGAAACCTAAGAGTTGTCAGTGATGGGGGAAATTCAACTCTTGGTTTTATCAATTAGTGAATGAAGAGTACCAAAAATGTTATGTCTACTTTACCATTCTCCCACAATCTGAAGCCTGAGCTATCATATCCCCAGCTGCTAGGTCCATGGGTCCCTCCATTCTTCACTTCCATGTCATGCCACAGCAAGAGAGCCGAGACAGTGAGCACTCCTCAACACAGCTGTTTAACAGCACTTGAAGGGAAAAGAACCCTCTTGTCAGCACATTGAGTTAGTTTATAAGATTTTAATTTACAAATTAAAAGGCTACATGTTTTATTTTTTCTCTTTTTTCTCTTCTTTCTTTACATCACTCTTTTCCTTCTCTTTCTCTTTGTCATCTTTCCTATCCTTTTTGCTCTCTTCTTTTTCCTGCCCTTCTTTCTTTTCTGCATCCCGGTTGGCAATCTTGTTGTTGATGAGGTTGTGTAGCGCGACCACAGACCTGATCAGCGAGGCCAAATACACCACCACCATCTGGTCGTTGGTCTTCAGGTAAAAGGCCTTGACAAACTCCTGCAGGCTGACATCTGGCAGCAGGTTGAAGACATCCTGCAGCTGGTAGATGATCTGGTGGTTGATGGGCAGCTTGCCTGTGGCCACTTTCTCCAGGTAGCTCCTGATGTCCAGGAGCTTGGAGTTCAGTCCTTTCAAACCATGGACCTGGTTTGTGATCCGCTGGGAAAGAGTGCCCACTGTAGTGTCTTTGATGTCTCTGTATAACACATACCAGGAAAGGGCGGGAAGAAGCATCAATGTACTGGTTTATCACACATACCATCACATTCTAAGGTAACACCCAACTTAGTGGTGAGCAGCAAATTTTTGAAAGAAAAATTCTTACATCTCCATTTTATAAAGATCTGAGTATAAAGGTTTGAGGCAGTGTAAGCTGCCACAATTTCATTTTCATTTGGAGGTCCATCTTTCATCAGGGAACATTTTTTAAAAAAGATGATTAAAAAGTGAGTGATAAAAAGCACTTTTAACAGAAGACTGTTTGGGTCAATAACTAACCTGTTGCTAGTTTTCTGGATAAATCTGTACAATTTCTGCCATAGTTTCCCTGGGATTAATACAGTAGTAACCTTTTAAGCTGGAAGGAGCCGTATTGGTTGAGAAAAATTAATTAAAATATTAAAATAAAGCCCATTCTAAGATTTGCTTTGCATAAAACTGGCTTTGTTCCCATCACTGAAAAGGACCACCAGTGGAAGAGCACACATCTGCATTTACTTCCTACATTGGTTCCTGTCAGAGTGTACAAGTTTGCAGACGTGGATTATTCAGTGTGACTCAAGACATTTTTGGAGCTGACCCAGGCCTAGAAGCCAGGTTGTTATATTCCTCTACTGATCTTTTTTTTTTTATAGGGAGTGGTCTTTGGGTGCTCAAAATTCCGATGCCATCCTAAGGTTTTACCGTAACAAGTGTTCGACTCCGACTTCCTCAGCTTCCTCGGCTCCAATTTCACTGGTCACATGCTCAAATGTTTTCGAGGTTGGAGTTCCATCCTGGGAGAGGTAAAAAATTATAAAGTTCCTTACAAACTGGCACATTGCTTGTCACACCTTGATTTTTTTTTCAAGTCAAATTATTTGGTATTAGCATTAATGGGTTTTCCATGGTAAGAGTGGGTAAGGTTTGCCTTGAAAGCTCAGTCTTCTAAGCTAAATTACTAAAGTGATCCTGTTCAGAGTCTGCTGGGGGCTTTATCATTAGCTTTGTTCTGAAGAAAAATCTTGATATTCTTTACAGCCTACAGTGGGGATAGACACTCAAGGAAGTCTCAATTAGGTTTATTAATAGAGTGTTTAGTTCTTTCTAAAACAGAAATTGGAAAAGACAACTTTTAACCATCTACTGTCCACTGGGTCAAATAATAAAGAAGCACCAAAACAATGCTTTCTGGTGGCCTGGATTAATCAAAGGATTTTCTAGGGGCTGTGGTTCATTGTATCTCCCAGTGACTCCCTGGGAGGGATTCAGGAGGAACTTTGCTTAGATCTAGTGCCAGAATAGTTATAAGTCTGTAAACTCTGTGAGGGCAGACTCTGTAGCCAGACTGGCTATGCTCAAAGTCTAGCTCTGCCAGGTATGTGATAAGGAAGCTTTGGGAAAGCTGTTTAACTTATATTTTACCTAGGAAATTGTGAATTCTGCAAATGCCGTTTTCCTCTTGCCTTGTATGCTGGAAAGGTCTGAGCCTTTAGCATTATTATAGAACTTCCTGGCATGCCTTTTCAGGTACTAATTTTTCCCTGGCTTCAACGTACAAGATGAATGAACATTGAGTTTCCTTTAAAAAAAAAAAAAATCTTGTGCATTATGTGGCATGTCTGCAGTCTGCCACATATTCCCCCATTTGGAGAGCAGGATAAAAATTAACTTAAAAACAACCCTATCAAAGCAACGATGAAACTCTTTATTTTAACTAGGAAATAAATCTAATCTCAATCTATGCTCATTGGTAGCAAGGGAAAAAGATAAATGGGGATGGGAAGAGAGGGTGGAGTGGAGAGAGAGCTCAATGCAAGGAACATTTGCTGGGCACTAACCTGAAGTATATTCTTCCAGATTTTAAATCTGAACATAAGATTAAATCCCTCAGGCTTTTGATACTGGAAATGCAGGGTTGAACTCTTTGTACACTCTAAGTGCAAAACTTTGTATTTACTACAAAACATACATACATTTCACATCAAATCCTAGAGTCAGAGTTCAATATTCCTGAACATAAGCTATAATTTATTATTTTTAAAACTTAAAAAAAAGATTTTATTTATGCATACAGAACTGGGGTACAAGCCAAAGGTGCAGGGGCAGTGAGAGGATTCACCAGACACACTGGGGAGGAGAACAGGCAGATGGATGAAGCACACTGCTGAGGGGAGCAGTGGGCGAGTCTGGAGAGTCTGCTGCCATGTGGTGACCTCCGGGGCGGGTATCAAATTCATGCTGAAGTGGCCTTAGTTTCTTAGTGCTGTGCTTTAACCTGCTGTACCACCAGGGAGAGCCAAAAGCTATAAGTTATTTTTATACTCAAAGCACAAGATGTCATGGGACTAAATATCCCTATGTCAAATCACATGGATGAATCAGGGTCACTAGGCTCTACATGTACTTTGCCACGAACACCTCTAGGCCATCATCTGACTTTTCTGTGTCTCAATTTCATTTGTAAAAGTGGACTTTAGGTATTTATGGACTTCTCTACATCTAAAATTTGGTGATTCAAAACTTCGAGGTGAAAATAACTGTATCAGTTGATAGAAAAATGTCTCAACTTGAAAATAGGAAAAAATATCCAATCACTTGCGAAGAAGTATATCTAATGTAGGCTTCTAGCAAAATGACTTACATCATGAACTTCTTCCACTGAAATGTATGCTTCTGTGGGTAACCCCAGGTCCTTTGGCTTCACGTCAATAATGACCAATACCTGATAGAAAACACATCTTAGAAAACAAGCTTACATTGAGTATATAAGGAGTAATTGCAGTTATCCCCTGTAGATCGCTAGTTATTTCATTCATTCAACCAGAATTAAAAAATTATTTTTTTCATATATAAAAGAACTGGGGTACAGAGGTGGGGAGGGGATAGGATTCACCAGAAACAGAGTGGGGAGCAGAACAGGCAGATCTAATGAAATACACTACAGAGGGGAGCAGCGGACAGGCCAGGAGAAGCCTGCCACACTATGTGGGATACCTCCCTGACCGGGAATGGAACTCATGCTACAGCGGCTTCAGACAGCTTCATAGTGATGTGCTTTAACCTGTTGCGCCGCTGGGGAGGGCCCGCAACCAGAATTTTCAACAAAAATGAGTTGACATATCAAATACTCTTATAACGTGCTGCTCTTGCAGCAACTCTTTGCTCTGTCCATTAACAAGCTGAGAGGTAGGGAAGTTAAGTTAAAACACATTTTAATTCCAGTCCACAGTTTCTAAGACTTTGCCAACTATTCCAAACCTCAGTTTTCTCTCTTTAAGAAGGCTAACAAGCTAAAATAGTTATTGAGAGGATTAAGGAGGATACTGCTACATAAAATACTATAAATAACAACATATTTACAGAGACAAGTGAAATGATTTTGCTAACCAAGTCCTTTGTAGGAGGCCCTAAATTGAATTGGCTGACACAGCATATCACTCAAGAATGTTAATGCTGGAGGAGGAACTTACTGAATTGGGGCAGTATCTTTTCATGAGTTCATTGATGGCAATGTCATTCTTGTGTAGTTTAGGGCCTGTGTGGTACCACCCAACTATTCTTTCTCTGGCTGGGTAGGAAGAAAAAAAAAATACCAGTATCTTTAAACGGTTAACACAAATACCTAGATAATTCCCCTCAAAGGGTATAGTTAACTTCTCTACCTTTTTAAAATTCTATCACACTTTAAAATTCTTAACATACTCAAGAAATCTAAAACCCAAAACCAGAATTTTCAGAAAATAAAGGTATGGAAAATCCAGAGATATCCTTATTTCAAACTACTTTAGGAGACCATTCATACATGAAACAACTAGAAAACAATTCCAAGTCAATATATAAGCAAATCCAAGTGCATGTCACATAGATTGCAACTGTGATTGTCGAGGGAATAAACATTTCCAAAGCAATGTTGTTGTAATGAAATAAAACGAAAATGTTCTATGTGACAGAGGGACATTTACCCTGGTGATACCAAAGCTCTAGGGGCAGGTAGATTTTGCTACTTCTCCACTTCTCTGGGCAGAGAGGTGGAAGGCCCCCATGTCTTACAGGAATTAAATTGTGACTCTAGTTCCTCATTTATTTTACCTCATTCCTTTCATAACACTAGTAAGGTGAACGGGCTCTTGACATTAAACAAATACAAAGATAATATTTATGTGTATCACATACAGATACAGAAGTCAACTTCTTAAAAAAAATCAAGACATACCATTGACCTTCTTAAACATTCCATACATGTTTTCCAAATAATCATGGTCCAAAAACCAGACAGAATCATCTTTGTCATCTTCATCAAAAGGGACTGAAGAGGAAAAAAAATAAATAAAGATTTAGTTTAGGATACTAGATAGCACCTCAGAGCACTGGTCAAAACCAGAGACTAGTAGGCAGATCTAATCCCTGCAGTGTTGAGTTCATTCAATATGGTATAAAATTGTTTGCAGTTGCTCATTTAAAAACTGGGAGATTTCACACAGAAATTCAGACTTCCAATTTTCCTAAAAATAAAAAGAATTGGAAGACCTGACAACAACTGACTAGAGTCAGGATACATGTGCTTTAGTTTTTGGAGTCTCATTACTTCCTATTTCCCAGCTGGCAAATTCCATTACTGCTTTGTCCTTTCAGACATTGGAGTCAGTGACTGCTAGTCCACAGGTCATACCAGCAATTAATTTGTTTTTTGATGCTGTTGTTTTAATCATAAAACACATGGATATATTCTTAGATTCAGGAAACAGAATTGGAGAAATAGTTCCCATGTCCCCCTTGCCTACCCAGAACCATGGTTAACAGTTTAGTGCAAAGGCTACCAATTATACCAACTACCAATTTTCATAAGTTCTAACTAGAGCACAGCTCCTTACTTGTCTAAATTGATGGCTGCCTTTTTGCTATAACAGAGCGGAGCAGCTGCAATAGACTGTACAGCCTGTGTATTTAAAATATTTACTATCCTGCTTAGTGTGCAGCCTTTAGGCCTCTCTTTTCTGAAATTCAGTAATTCAGAAGTATAATCTTTCGATGTAGTAAAAATGGAAATTATTAGTTTCTTCCTTTTTTTAAAAAAAAATTTATTTTGGGGAGGAAGTGCACGGGACTATGGTGATGACACAGGTGTGAATTGGTAATGGGAAGTCCACAGGGATTGCAGTCGAGATGGAAAAGGGCACAAAATGATGTAAAAATAAACTATTACTAAAAAAACAAAAACAAAAACAAGGAGAGGCACATAAAAAAGGGTATTTTAACCATGGTCTGAAAAATATGAAATGTGTCTTTTACCTGCAAAACTGTTGGATACATCAAGTACTTTCTTTTGCCATGACCCCAAAAGCACACCAACAACACGCTTCTGGTTTCCAACCTTGCCTATGCTGAATGAGAAAGCATAGGTTAGTTTGATGAGAAAACAATAATTAGCTGCTTGGGGAATATATATGGTTAGGAATCAATTCAGCTTACTGGGAACTAATCCCACCGGGGCAATGTAAGAGTTAGGGTAGTCCTCAATATTATATTCTAATAAATGTAATGGGCAGATCAGGAACTTTGTACACTGGCAATTTTGGTCACAACTGACCAAACATGGAAATTTAAAATGGAGAAAATAAACTTACTATAGTTTTAAAATGTTACTTAGTTAGTATTTGAGAAACAGTATGTTAGCACATTTTCTCCTTTTTCAGTTTATCTTCTCTCTTTACACTTTTCCCTTCTCTGGAGAATCCTCAAGTCTTTTCAGGGCTAAAAATACTAAAGGAGAATCAATTTTATGGTCTGGCATGCAGCTCTTCTCTGGAACATCCCTTTTTGACAAGCCCCACTAGATGTTCTTTTACCATCTAGGGTACCCTAGATAGTAGCAAGTAGGCAAGGGCCGTTTGTGGTCTCTGAAGGACTACCTTAGGTAGAAGTCATCTGTGAGCTGGTGACCAATCGCACTGAGTGAACAGGAGCTTAACAACTAAACTACTTCTCAATTTCAGTCTCCATTATACTTAAGTAGTTTTTGTCCTAAGGTGTTACAAGTGTTCCACTTTATTTCATTGCTCTTCATCTAGAATTTCCTTTGGCCTCTAGCAAATGTGACAAACACAATTCTATGTTCAAAGGAAAGACAAAGGTGAGTGGGAAATGAAGTACATCCTTCAGTCAATGGTTCCACATTGCTTACTTTGTATAATTTCTCTAAACATGACTTGACAAATTTAAAAATACTAAATTTGGGATTTGAATCAAAATTCAGGAATCTAGTGGTTTTAATGTTTGGGGAAGTCTTAGGGACTGAGTTCCACACTTCAAAGGAAACTTCGATACTCATGAGCTTTTCTAATGGTCTACAACATTTGTCTTTTTAAAAACCCTACATTTGTTATCTGCCATAACAGCTTGCAGTGTCTGCGTGCTGTGTCCTTAACAGGTGTCTGTTGAATTTACTGAACAGAAATTGAAATGGTGCCTGCCCCATTAGCACTTCTACTAACCTACAAAAGAAAAATAGTAATTACTATACAGTGGATATGGTTTCCTATCCTGTTAAGTCAGTCAAAAGCAATGGACCTCAACTGGAGACCCTAAACCCAAAGGAATCAGGAGTTTGTCTTTAGCTCTTTAAATAAGAGTTGTACAAAGCAAGTGCAGGAGAATGGGCATGTAACAATTATGACTTTACAGTGGATGCTCCCAACAGTCTTTACATTTGCCAACTCAAATTATGCTGTAAAACTTAGAAACACGTGCAACAGGTCCAGCAAGATGAACAGCTCGAAAGCAGCAAGGGGCAGCGGAAGGGCACCTCCAACAATGAGTTTCTTTGGCCAGATGATCTGTAGGATGTTATTTTATTCATTAATGCCAAATCTCCGACTGGTTTCACTGTTAAAGTAAAAACTGGACGCCCCGTTTGCACCTTAAGCTATCGTCAAATTCCAGCTTAGAAACGGTCACAAGTCAAAATCAGAGATCTTCCTGGGACCCGTTTAGGGCGCTGAGACCAGAATTTCGGTTGACAGCCATCAGAGGCACAGAAACTCGAGTGTTTAGGGCTTTCAGAACAGATTCCGCCTTCCCTAGGTGAAAGGGCGAGGACAAGATGACAGGTGGACCTTAAGCCCGGGAGGGGGGGAATAGGGCCAACTGAAGCTTGCTCCCCATATTCTCGTAGCGTAACGACTTGGGTAGGACGAACGTGCAGCTCAGGCCGCGGAGTGCCCGCTGGGACAGGGGGCGATAAAATGTGGTCTGGCGACTGCGCTTTGTGAAGCGCAGTTGGCCTGTGCCCCTCGGCGAGCCAGGGCCGCCCCCAGCCCATCAGCGCCCCCGCGGCCGCTTCGCCAGCCGCAGCGTGCCCGTGACTCAGCAGCGGCTGCGCCTCCAGCCCCGCTAGGCCTCCCCACTCCGCCCGCTCACCGATTGAAATGATCCACCACACTGAGCAGCACCAGGGGGTGGACCACCACTTTCTGCACCGCCAGTTCGGGCATCGCGACACTCCCCGCCCGCCACGCCCGGCTCCCCGAGACCCGCAAACACCCGCAGCGGCAGCGACTCTCGCGGATCCTCCGGAACCAGCTCCTCCTCTTCCGGCTCAGCCGCCGCCGTGAGGGCCCCACTTCCGCTCCCAGAGTGCCGCGCGTGCTGTGCCCGCATTGTCGCCATCTTGAGGCGGGAAAAGGCTGGAGGAGGCGGGGCCCGCCTTGAGTGACTGGCTACGGGCATTCCTGGTCTTGAAAGCTAAGGGAAGACTGAAGACTGAGAAAGGTTGGCGTCCTGGTATTTGGTCGGCTGTGTGACCAGCGGAGGCATTTTGCTTTAGTTCCTTCTCAACTCTAGCACCCTCCGACCCCCCATTTGCACTCTGTGGTAAAAACATTGGAGAAAAAAATTAGATATAATATAGGTTTCCGCTGCCCAGAAAACGTTCACCTTTGCCTCAAGTTAGAATCCTCCAGAATTTCCTAGAGGAACGAACTTTTAAATCCCTCACACTAGAGCACGCCCTTGAAGTACCTTTGGTAATTTGTCTCATTTTTATCGTAGGGCACTTTCCCTTAAATGGTACTGTGGGCACTTGCTGTTGACAATCAAGCAGGCTTTATACTTACGCGCCTGTATTTATATTTGCCACTTAATTAGGTCTAGAAGAATGCAGTTTGTGCCTAGAGGTTGACTTTTAGACAAAAACTACCAAAGCGGTGGAGAAAGGTTGGAAGGCACTAAGGAAATATATTTTGGTTTTTAGTCAGAAAAGAGAAAAAGGAAGATTAATAGGGGGAAATGTGGGTGACAAGGCTTTAGGGTCTTCTGCAAGAGGCAAATTTCTTAAAATATATCTACAGGTTTATATTTCTGTCAGTTTTTTTAAAGATTTATTTATTCGTACAGAACTGGGGTACAGGCCAGAGATGCGGAGGGTGGGAGGAGCCACCAGAGACAGAGTAGGGAGCAGAACAGGCAGACACTGCTGAGGGGAGCAGCGGGCGGGCGGGTCAGGAGAGGTCTGCCGAGCCATGTGGTCATCCCTGCGCAGGCGGGGCTCGAACTCATGCAGAAGTGGCTTAAGCTTCTTAGTGCTGTGCTTTAACCCGCTGCGCCACCAGGGAGGGCCCAGATTTTCTTTTAAAGATTTATTATCTATCATCTATCCATGCATCCAAGCATCCATCCAAGAGCTGGGGTACATGCCCGAGGTGTGGAGGTGAAAGGATTCACCAGAGACAGAGCGGGGAGCAGAACAGGCAGATCAATGAAGTATGCTGCTGAGGGGAGCAGCGGGTGAGACAGGAGAGGTCTGCTGGGCAGGTGGGTCACCTCCTGCCCAGACCTGGAATTGGTGCTGTAGTAGGTGCCCAATGGCTTGATAGCACTGAGACTTTAACCTTACGCCGCCAGCAAGTCCCTATTTCTGTCAGATTTTAAGTTGTTTTAGTAGATGAAAACAATACTTCGGTAACTTACTTACTTACTGTTTGGCCTGCTTTAAACAGATTCTACTATTCCCTATATCACCAGCGGATCTGACTGCAGACTTTGGCTCTCAGTCTTGGCCTTCCAGTGTAGTTAGGGAGCTTTTAATGTTCTTTCCATTTCCTACCTAACAAGTTCATTGCAGATAATCTCCTACCTTAGGAAACTTTGCTTTAGATTTATTTTCCTCATATCTTTTAATATTTTTAAAAACATTAATCTTTTAATATTAGCAGATGATTGCTACTATTTCTCGAGATAAGAGAACTTTTAGGTTAAGAGAATTTATGTCAGCTCTGTGTATGAACGTGTTAGAATGCTTGCTGGTATTAGTAAACGTTACTAATTCATCTCTTACATGTTGCTGCTCAGCACAGGGTAACCATGTATCTGTTATAGAAAGATCTCGAAAACACTCCCCTCCCATTTTGTAATTATAGATTTGATGGCTATTGGAAGGTCAAGATTGATTTTGATTTTTCTTATGTACAAGCAGGCTTAAGAATTGGAATCTGAAGGAAGCCATCTTTTAACTAAAATATGAGTATAAAGACACTTGAAATCTTGAGGAGCTATTTCCCATATTACTCAATTTTATTTATTATTATTTTTCTTTGGGTGCAACTGTCAGGGATCATACCATATTGCAGCATCCACTGAAATGGCAGAAAGGAGATATTAGAAATCCACTTTATTTAGTTAGTCGAATAATGGAGTTAACTTTAAGATGAACTGATGAGACTTAAGAACATTTCCCCCCATTTGATCATCTTTGCCTTTTTTTTTTAACATTAAGTTCTCCCAGATTTATGTAAATTTAATTGATATACAATGTTTTGTAAGTTTTAAGTGTACTATGTGATATTTTGGAAAATGATTACCATAATACCTCTATTACCTCACATAATTACCTTGTGGATGTGTGGTGAAATTATTTAAAATTTACTTTCTTAGCACCTTTCTAGCTTATAATACACTACTATCAGCAGGCCTGTGGAGATGTCAACAGACAGGGGCTAGCAAGAAAACAAGAAAATAAAAGATACCACTTCTTGATGTAAATGTACAGTACCTGTGGGAATTCTGAGAAATATTTGAGGTGGGAGAAACAAAGTAAAATCCTGGGGTTCTGGAATAACAAGTAGAATACAATGGTGGATGAACACTGATTAGGTATACATATGAGGATGGTATTAATATTCAACAATTAATTTGCTCCCTGACTATTCAAACTATGTGCATAGCTTCTGGTATTTTTTGTAGCCTTTTTCTTTTCTTTTTTTAGGCTTATTTTATTTATGCATAAAAGTGCTAAGGTGTAGGCCAGAGGCATGATGGGTGAGAGGATTCACCAGAGATAGTGGGGAGCAGAACAGGCAGATCTACTGAAATGCTTTTCTGAGGGGAGCAGCAGGCTAGACAGGGGAGGTCTGCTTTGCCATGTGGGTCAGCTCCCTGACCAGGGATTGAACTTGTGTTGCAGTGGTTGCCCATAGCTGGCTTTATTGCACTGAAACTTAACCCCTTATGCCACCAGGGAGGCCCCATCTTAGCATTTTTCTAAGAGGACTGTCCTTTAGATTTTTCTATCACTTCATAATACAAGTAAGAAAATAATTGAAGAAGTCTAGTACTTTGGGAATCAAAGCTGATGACATACAAGAAAAAATCAGGGAATAAAAAAAAACTTTTTCAGAAGTAATATATACACAGGCATAAACATTGTAGGAATACATATCCTTGCCTATGAACATTGGACTGATTATATCCAATGAAGTTGTCTGTCAGTTCTAAGGGAGGCCATTGGGTATCCACAGTTGGGTAATCGTTGCAAAATGGTAAAGGTCCTTCCTGTTTTTTGCATTTCCTTCATAAAACATTTACAGGAAAAAATAGTTCTGGGGAACTTTCTGTGGGGAGGGTTAGGTCAAGCAGATGTAAATCAGAGAGAAAGAGATAGTATTTACCATCAGATAGCCCAAATTGGGTTATTCATTGAATTTATAGCTTTGTAAGCCAGGACATTGTGCTGAGAGATACTTTTCTAAATCTTTTTATTCTCCTTTTTTCCATCCTAGCTCAGAGACCTCAGAAATGCTCTGCTCATCACTGAGGCTCAGCCAGAGTCAGGAAGAACAAAGATATGATAGAAGGGAGGTAAAAGAAAACCTCACTCCTTTCTTAAGCAAAGTGAAGAAAGAAGTCAAGCAAGGTGGTCAGATGTGAGTGTCTCAGTTTTCCCTTCTTTTTACTTTCAGAAAGTAGGTCTGTTGGGTGAGTGGGTTACTAGAGGGAGGAAGCAGGTGTTTGCTTTCAACTCAGGAAGACCTTAGATAGTCTATGTCTTCTTGGGCACTATTGTGCTAATATGACAGTACAGGGAGGGAAGTAGAATGAAGGCTTTCAGACTTCACTGCCTGAGCTACCACTGGCTCCTGCTTGTCTGGAGTGGCATGGACAGGACCCACACATAATTTGTAAGAGGAAATGGTTGCAGAGGAGTGGGAGGGATGGATCCCTGCCTGAGCCAGCCACTGTCACGGAGTTGCTGAGGTGAGGTTGATTGGCTTGGGAACTCTCCAAGGCATCCTTGCATCAAGAAAGGGTCCCAAGTGCTCCAGTTGTGGACCAAAATGTAGAAGTAGCAAGTCCTTCCATCACCGAGATAGAAGAGACACTGGCCAGTGTCTCTTCAGCACAAGGACTGAATCTCCTTTGCCACCAAGGAAGCATGTGAACCCCAACTTCTTCTCCCTCTTTGCCACTAAATCATAGGGAGAGAAGGGAGGGTAAATACAATTCCAGATAAGTAATGGAAATTATTTTAAAGGGATTGTTTAACTTAAAATATTTTGGTTTTTAAAAAAGTTATTCCCCCATGTTTAACCAGCATGCCGAGACTCATGAAGGAAGGCTAGTTACAGACAAAAATGAGTACAGTTGAGTATCAAATTGAATGTAAAATAACAGTGTTATCCTTATGTCAGTAGACACAGTCCCCAAGCCCTGTATTTCCTTGTCCTTATTGAAGACAATTTTTGGGACCTGGGTGTAGCTCATTGTTGGTTAGAGAGAAAAAACTGATGTCTGTGAAAAATTGAGGCTAGCCACCGTGAATTAAAAGTTCTGCCTGAAGTATCTGCCATGCACAGTCTGGTTTCTAATGATAGGCACTTTATTAAAATACCTTAGGCCTAAAACTCTAGAACGCTAGATCTAACATCAATCTGGATAACATCCTGTATTCCATGAACATCTCAGGTGCAGCAGGATGGATTGAATGTGCCATTTTCCCTTCCAGACTTGCTGCTTCTGCAGGAACTTAGCCAATGCTTCCAAGTAACAACATCAGAAACTTGGGTGTCATTCTATATTTTCCATTTCATTATCACAGAAATCTAATTGGTCGATCAACTCAGGCTCTTGCAAATGGGTAGAGACATGTCATTTCCTAGCACCTGCCTGCTTTTCTAGCTTCTAATAAATTACTACAGTGATTTTTAAAAAATACTGCTGTCTTTCCATCTGTTCAGGTTAAGTGATTAATATACCATATGTCATAGTATTGGCATACTCAGACTTTGATTATGTACTTAACTTTACTAATGTGTTTTATATTTTCATATT